ACAATCAGTTATATATTTATGTTTAGAGTCATGGATCACTAATGTCTGGTGATTATTATTTATGATCATAATATTGATAATGCATACAATTCATCCACTAATAATGTTATATTTAGGAAAACATTTAAAATATAATAAATACAAATTTTATTCTACATTTTAATTGAATATTTTTTTATTTACTTAAATTATAATTCGTCACATTATTTTTAACATCAGGCCGCGCAACGCGCGGGTGACGTACTAGTATATATATAAAAGTAAAGTAGATGAAAAATTTCCCTCCAAAACTACATTTAATACATTGTACTAATAAATTTAATCAATTTTCATGCATGATTTATCAAAAAAAAATATTTATTACATATAAACAATTAATTTGTATTATAATTGTGTTGGAATTTGCACTCCATTTTTTCTTGACTAAATAAATGCTTCAACTACATATATTATCATGAAATAAATTTTGTTAATTCTTATGTATTATTTACCATTCAAACAATATCATAAATATTTGTTACAAATAAATACTTATTTTAGTCATAATAAATTATTATACAAATTCCCATTACATATATTTTTTTCATAATCAATTCTTTGTTACAAATAATATTTAATATTATACATAATTAGTTATTATGCATTCTCATCCCAATATCTCACTTATTATTTGTCTCTTTTCCCTGTTTTTGAGTATGAGTTCCTTTCCTTTTATATTATATCTTTTTATAATAATAAATTATCAATCTTATTTAATAATCACTAAAATAAAATTTAAAGTAAAATAGTTTATTTAAAATAATTTATTATTTTTATTGGAACATCAAACACAATGTTATGTTTTCAGTTATATTGGGTATATTTCAAGGTAAAATAGAAAAAAATCATAACTAATATGATATCTATATGTAACATAATAAATAAATATTTTTATAGTTTTTAATTTGGCATCTATATGCATATATATAGATAAATTTTTAGATTTGATATGTCAATTTAAATTCGTCATTGTTTATTTTAACATATACATGTTCGATTTGATATGTCAATTTAAATTCGTCATTGTTTATTTTAACATATACATGTTCATATGTTTTCATAAAAATATTTAATAGTAGCATCACACCACATTTGAAACATATACTCTATATTGATGAAATTTACATACACATTAAGAAAATATGTAACCATCTCTTATTAATCTAATATTATATTATTTTATATCTTTATGTAATTCTAAAAAATTACAAGTGATCATTAATTTATTTGCATTGAGTACTTCATTCCTAAACAAGATCTTTTAATTTAAATTGTAAAAAATCTAATCGATTCACAAACTCTGATGTGAGCTAAAGTAAGAGTTAGTCAACTCAACGTGACATTCTTCTTTAACAAACATGCGAACTTAGACATCCAAATTTCATACTTTGTTTATTTATTTCAAATATTTTTTAAATAATAAATAAAATACAAATAGAGTGAGATAAAAAATAATGAAGTTATATTTATCATAAAAAACATAATTTATTCGAGTAAAAGAGATGTAGTTTTCATGAAAAAATATCATCTATAATTTCTGGGGATGATCATTCATATCCATATGAAAAAAGATCTCAAAAATGTTGAATATCGTTTACTTGAGTAAAAAAACACTATATGGATTTCAGTTTATTTCACCAATAAACCATGAATATGAAAGCTTGAAAACAAGAGAAAAAAAAAGACATCATACAATTCGAAAATGACATGAAATTTGACTGTATTTTATAGATAAATAATAGATTAATATTTCAGAATTGATATTGTATAAAGAAAAAAAAATTCACAAATGATAACGTACAAACAAAGAGATATGACATCATTTCAAAGAGACCACTCATGGATTTGATTGTGAATACTGAAAAAAAATGCATATATATCGTTCATTTTTTGAATGAATTTTCAATCATATATTAGCCATATTAGGTCATTTCACGTCAGTTTTGGGTATTTTTTTATTTTTAATTAGTATAATTTGTTTTGTTTTTTGAAAATCTTGAAGAGTCCACTTAAACACATGATCATAAAGTTTTTGCCTTCATTAATTTTTTTAATTGGTCCATAATTATACAACTACAATTTCTGAAGGCATAACAGGTTAATTTTATTGTTAATGTTTTATTTCTATATCGTATGTTGTTTTCTTAAGAATAATGATAATGTATCATCTTTATCGAAACATTGCGACATATAAAGTTCCTACAACTTACTATAAATGCAACAACTATTTTTTCTTCATCATACAGCCCAATTGCCAGTTTTACTTTATATTGTTTTAGACTTATATATTATTATTAAATATTTTATTATTGATATAGGAAAATAATTTTGTATTTCCAAATAATAAGTTAATTAAAATTATCTTAAATTTTATGCAAAATAAGTTTTAGCTATTGACCTAACATTGACAGTGATCGTCTTGATTATTTTTTTAATATAATATTATAAAAATAAAAAATAAAACTTTAAAGAATATAATAAAAAATAATTCGATATGTATAGACATAAACTTTTATTTTGTACAATGAGATGAACATTTATTTTCATAGTTCGTATACAACATAAAAATAATTGATTTAGTGTTCGAACATAGCATCTAATTTAGTCTCATTTATGGGTAAGCAAAATAAGAATATTGCGAAATGATAGTGTGCAATGATAAAAAAAAAAAATATATAAAATTGTAACATAAAGAGTGAGAGATCTCAACAACACTAAGAGAGTTAAAAAAAATATTTATATAGTTTTGACTCAGCAGACAAAATGATCATATTGATTGAATAGATCTAATAATTATTTGTTTTATTAATTTCATTTGAGCTTAAATTTGAGGTTATGTAAAAGTTGGTGAAAGGTGTCAATCTTTAATTTTTATAATAAATACACAATTATACAGCTAAAACTTTTATAATAAAAGTAGCATAATGTGTCAATTATTGTTTAACTTTTGTTTATAAACAAATCTTTTCTTTTTATAAGAGAATGATGAGAGTATATTATCGCAACTTAATGTTGTAGTGATAAAGTTAAACACAACTTATTACAATGCATCAACTACCTTGTCCCTTATGATATATCAAAATATTAATTTCACAATAATGTGTTTTTTCTATGTATTTTATATAATATAATTTAAACATATTTTTCGTATTACTTTACAAAAAGTCTGTCAATGTGTGATTCTAAAAATTACATTGAATTACAGTTTTCACCAATTTTCTGCAAAAATAAGTACTTTAATATTACATTGAATTACAATTCTCATTCTACTTTTTCTTTATCATGTATCATAATGTTAACTTTATTTTATTTCTTTTAGATTTTATATAATATAATTTTAATGTTTTTTTTTTGTATTACATTACAAAAATTTTTCAAGAATTTTATTATAATTGTATTGAATTATAATTTTCCTTGGTTTCATGCATAAATAAATATTTTAATATTACATTCAATTACAATTCTCATGAATTTCATGCAATAAATAAATATTTTAATATTGAGTTTCTGAGTCTATTTTTAACTTTATGAAAAATGGTAAATCTTTCACGTCATTCTCTAATTACCATCGCACTTATTTTGTAAAAAACGAAATGTTGAGATTTATTTTGTTAATAAAAAGTAAAAAATATGTAGACTTAATTTAAAATTAAATACATGCAGATAGAAGTAACTTTTTTTATTAACTATTTAATTTGTATTTATAAATTTTAATTTTATCATCTTTGTACATGTATCATTAATTATTCAATATTAGTTTATTTTTACAATAGTAATCATGACTTTATTTTCTTTTTTTAACTATGAAAATTATGTTATCACATATACAATTTTATGAAAAATTTTGAAGAAGTGTCATTAATGTGACCAATAGTTTTTTCCATGTTATATCACATATTTTTGTAAGCTTAAAAATTTAATTCTAAAAATGAAAAAAAATTATATTGGATTTTATAATTTTTTTTTGTTAATTGTTATTGTTTCTAGACTCACGATCCATGTTGTCTAATTATTGTTATTACTATTGGTGATAACGAACACAGTTCATCTACTATTAATATTGTATTTGTGGAAGTATTTTTAAATGGATTAATAAAAAAATTATTCTACACCATCTCAATAAGTTTTTCAAAAATTATTTTTCTATTAATTTTGTCATTCAGTCGCACCATTTTTAATATTAGGCCGCGCAACGTGCGGATGGCATACTAGTATTTCCTAAAAAGAGTACAAATGCATAAAATGAAACAATAAGCATAAATTTAAACGTTCGAATTTCAACCAACAAATGAAAATATAACAAAATTTATTGGAGCGGATGAAAAATGAAACAATATCGGTCTTTAGAGCACCCACAATGCATTGAGTCTCTTAATAAAATATCATATGCCACATAGGAAATAGACTTAGTCTATTAAAAAATGTCTCCCAATGCAATTAAAAGTGGACATGGTCTGGCTTTTGTGACAATAAAAAAAGAGACAAATTCCACAGTTGGGTCTATTTTGGACTCAAGTATAAACCCAAACACTCATCATTTATTTCTAATTTATTTTCTAATAATAGAAAAAACTTATTTGTCCAAACACTTACACCTTAACCGATTTCATATATATCGTGGAATAAATTGTCGCGTCGTGTGAGTGCCTTTTTGTGGGAGAGCTTGACAAGTTCATGTAATTGGGCAATTTGGTGGTAGAAATCTTCAAATTTGATGTATTCATAGAAATTAACACATAAAAAATTATGGAGATGAGATGATTTATTTATATTCAGTTATTAGAAATATGCATGCGATATCAATATGTATATTAAATTATTAATAGAACCTAACAATTATCCTTTCACAAACATCCAATAATAGTCGTCCACGTTTTCTGTGCAACCTTTTTTATCCCGCCAATTTCTCACAGTACACACAGTACTGAAAACAGTTCCACGCACCTGCACAGAGCTTTCCTATGGCGTCTCTGCAACTACCACTCTCTCTCCTCATATTTTCTATCACCATCCTCTCCGCCGTCTCCCAGCCACAGTCGCCGATGCCTCCGCCTCAGTCCATCATCGACGCCGCCGAGACCCTGGCCAGCTCGGGGTACACCGCCATGTCCCTCACCCTCCAGCTCATCGCCCCCACCCTGCCTCTCCCCTCCGCCGCCATCACCAGCCTCACCATCTTCTCCCCTCCGGACTCCGCCTTCTCCACTTCCGGTCAGCCGTCTCTCGCCCACCTCCTTCTTCACTTCTCCCCCCTCTCTCTCTCCCCGTCGTCCCTCCTCTCCCTGCCCTTTGCCTCCACAGTCCCGTCCCTCTCCCCCGCCAGCCACCTCGTCGTGACCTCCGGCCAGCCTGAGAAGATATCCATCAACAACGTCGGAATCTCTGAAACCCCTATTTTCGACGACGGATTTGTCGTCGTCTACGCAATTGACAATTTCTTCGACCTGAATTTCACCCTAGCGGACGCGAATCCGGCCAACCCGAACCCTAGATCCGATTCCCAGTGCCTGAAGCTTGAATCATCCTCCAGATTTGGTGACGCGTCCGGAGTTCTGAAATCGAGAGGCTACTCGTTATTTTCCTCTTTTCTCGATCTGCAGCTCATTGGATTTCTGGGGAACTCACACGACTCTGTGAAACCCTGGACAGCTTTTGCGCCGATGGACAAGGAATTGGTCCAGTTTTCCGGCGATTTTGTAGGCCTCTCTTCTTTGTTCATGAGGCATTTGGCTCCGTGTAAAGTGATGTGGAATGATATGGATGAGATGGCCAACGGGACTGTGGTTTCCAACAACGTGAGCGGCTTTAGCTTGGAGATTACGAAGGATGAAGTTGATACAGTGATGGTGAATGGAGTCGAAATCACTTTCCCGGAGCTGTACGAAAGCGAGTGGCTGGTGGTTCACGGGATACGAGCAGTGATTGATTTGCCGGAGATTGGCAACGAGGAGATGGAAGTGACGGAGGATTTTCCGGTGGAGGAAAACAATAACTCGATGGCTCTGGATAATGGGGAATTTTGAGGTCAGTTTGTTGCTAGTTTACTTAATGAAGCGCCTTTTCTTTTGTACTGGAGATTTTTCATGTTTTGATAAGGGAATGAGTGCTTTTAGTGTTCTTAGAATTGGAAATTGGGATTAAAGAGAATATGTGAATTGTGGAAATTCTACTAATGGAACTTTGGAATGAGATTTCTTGTTGAAAAGTGGCTCGGTTTATCTGTTGTTTCCGGGTTGTAAATTCAGGGGTGCATCATGATAAAACTGGTCATCAATTTAACGGAATTGAGTGTGCAACTCGTATTTTTCTTTTTCTGAAATGACAATTAATTTTGCTCTCAGGAAGTTTATTTGTTGACTTAGAACTTGCTTTTTACCTCAATTAAGAATATCTGCCTAGCTTTGTGTCTCGAACATGAAGCTTTGGTCTGTTCCAAGTGGTTTTCTGTTTGGATTTCTGAGTAATATAGAAGCAAATGATGAATGGAGGGAATGGGAACTCTTGAAAAAATATGGAAAAAAAAAAAAGAAAGAAAAGAAAGAAAAGTTAGTCCTCAGCTTGGTGGGAAAAGATACTCCGGTTGATCCCTGCATTTTTCTGCTTCACTCGAATGCCCTACTTTCGAATTTGCAAACAACTAAGCAAAGCTCGCATTTTCTTGTTTCAAGTGCTCCCCCACTTCTCGGATGGCTTCTTATGGTGTTAATTTGTCGTCTCGTTTTCTGTTTTCCCATTAGTTTACTAAGCTACTTTGCTGGAACATCTTTACCATCATCAGTTTCCTCTAAGGTATGTATATTAGTATATAGTCTTTGCCAGGGAAAACAGGAATTCAATTTGTCGAGTAGCTTATCATCAAGTTAATCAAAGAATTCACATAGTTGTTTAACATGGATTACCTTTTATATAAAGAACTAATTTGTTCAATGTCTGCATCCCAAATTATACATCACATCATGATCATTGGTGGTAGGTTTTATTGCATAGTGTATGGTATATATTGGCTTTAGTTTTGACCAGCCATGTGTTGACAAAGAAATTAGCTAGTCTAATTCTGGAATCTAGATAATATTCTTTCTCTTTCATTTCTTCCCTGATTATTGGGGCTATTCTTATATGCTATCTTAGTTTGGCTCAGAAGGTTACATGATACACTGGTTCACGACAAAGAAAATGTAGTATAGATAATATGAGATTTGCTGATATCAAAGCTGATTCAGTAATACCATAATCTTTGTTCTTTTTTTCCCCTAAAGTCACAATCAAATCCATTCTTGATGAGTTAGCATTAAAGATTTTTTTTTTTAGTTGAGCAATCTCAACTATGTGCTCTAGCAAATAGTTATATCCCTTTAACCAAGTCAAGTTTCTTTCAGTTACTCATTTAAATTAGCGAAAGTAATGGCAAAATCCTCTTTGCCCCCGTTAAGAAGAAACTGCTTCAGGTCTTTAAACATGTGATACAGAGGTCTAATACCCTTATCCACCATCTCTATAAAATATTTGCCCATGTGTGTTGGAAGCCAGAACACACTGTAGAGTTTTTCAGCATTTCAAGAATGAAATTCTGAGGTAAAAAGTTGTGTTAAATATGACGAATCCAAGGCATATTACTTGGAATGATTTTGCTATGGAGCAACCGGATGACACGACTTATGGAGCCATCCACACTAATTACAAATAGTGAGTGGTTGCCATCATCATCATCGGATTCGGTTCCTCATTGGCATTTTCACAACCACTTATTGCCCTCAGAGGAGTACAAATATGTGACCTTTTGAACGCCCTAAATTGTGGAGCTTTGAAGGAGATGCAAGGATTTGTTAAAAAAACTCACGTGCTATCCGTATCAATGGGTGAACTATATTAGACTATATATTAGGATGTGAAAACAAAAATCAAAAGTAATGTTCTGTAAATAAAAATCAAATAAAAATCCAAAACCGGTAATGAGCCAATTGGTTCTTATATTCATTTTGCATGGTCTAATATAATCGCAATAGATTGGGGTTGGATAAGGCACCTTGCAAGATGTTTTCATTATTTACACTTTTCTTTTTGAACGCTCTTATAGTTGAATAATTGTATGTAATTGTCATCTTGTTCAATTGCACGCCCGCGTTCTTATGTTTATTATTANAATCCATGTCATGGCAATATTAATCATATTTGATGAAAAAAGAAACACAACAATGAATAAAGTCATTTTGGGTTGATGACAAAATTTTTACCTCAATCGTGATCTTTTGCGTATGACGTGCATTAGAAAAGAGCTATACAGATATATATTGTTCGATGATAGTCTTAGTTATGGTCCAATGTTCATCTTGGTTGGCACTACAAGAAACAAGCTTAAGTGGAACAACTAAATGTCATGCCTATAACCTTTAAAATCGTGACTATTTGTTTATTGGGACGATATGTCGTTGCAAATAAGTCGTGTCAATAGACGTGTGTCTATTGGTATATTGGCACGCTAAAGTCGTTACTATAAGTGAATAAAGTAATAGCCACGACTTTTGTTGTGCCTATTCCATCTCGATTGATGTCATGTTCGTATTTATCAAATAACGATCATGTTGTGCTAATAATTGTCGTGGCTATTGTTTTAATATAAACTGAAACAATATGTTGTTCCAATTCTTACGTGTCCATAGGTATTACACACCAAAAAATGTCGTTTCAAATGATGTTATTATACATAGATGCATTCAACTTTTGGTGACAAATTTATTGTTGCAATATATGATGAAGATTTAAATACAAAATATTTATGTCAATTAAACTTGAATACTACAACACAATTCAACCAAAAATATTGTCAAAGTAAACAAGTTTCCGAATCAAAAAATACATATTAGATATATCAATTCCATCAACTTCACAACCAACTAATTTGGTTTAATGGTTCCCAATACACAACTAAAATACAAAATGTCAAAAGTCTTGGGACCAAATCAATACATTATGTCATACATCGAGTAAAACCCCATGTAAATTACTTGAATCTCTTGCTTCAAAAATATACCAAAAGAGACTAGACCAACCAAAAGTGAAAATATAATGAAGTATATCAAACTAACATCAACATTGCTCACTCTCATTCTCGTGATGAGTGAATTGAGCATCCGTCTCCTCCTCTTCATCAACGTCAATCCCAACCTTAGCCTTTAGCCGTGCAAGCGTCTTTAACATTTTNAAAAAAAAAAAAAAAAAAACGTAAAACAAAGACGTTAGTTACAATTCCGTACCAAATGACCAAATAGTATCTTGAACACAAAGCAACATGCATCTTCAAGAAAAAACGTTGTAGAGAACTTTCTACGAAAGGCAAAGAAAAATAGCGACAAACTACAATGCGAACAACACAACCATAAAACTAACGAAGTGAAATATTAGAATGATATATGCTCGATCATCAACTAGAAAATGTAATGAAATGTACATTGATTAAGCGTAAAGGCCGCCCAAGCTTTGGACCATCTCATATAATTAATAAAGTTAGAAACCAACCTAAAAAAAAGAATGAATATTGCAACATCTCTACGCCTAATGTTAAATTAAATTAAAGTCATGTTACAGGTATAACTTCAACAAAGTTTAAGCTAGTTTGACTACTTAAAAATTTCGTTTAAATAATAAAGACCAAAATTACTCTGTATAAAGTTTAAAGAACCAATATTTTCTTTAGCCTAATATGACTCATCAAAACTTATCTCCTACGAATCTCTACAGCAAAAACCAATGGCAAAACTTCTTTGCTTCTGGGAGTGTAGTCAGTCATATATTGCAATTGCAAGTAAAGGGAGAATGCAACTAACTAAAATGAAAAATAATAATTATGCTATTTTGATGTGTCCGTTACTAATAACAATACAAGAAAAGAAAATTGCTATAGTACTTTGTTACACAAATAATAAAGATCCATAGCAAACCAAATTAAAATCCAATGCATTGCTTTTAAAGTGTACGGCTAACTCTCGGCGTTTATCTTGGGAAAAATCACTGCATCTGCCAGTTGAGCTTACGAGCATATCATTGAACTTCAACGTCGAAATATTTTAGCAGATGGAAATTCAAGAGAACATAAAAAAATTGGAAAATCACATTAAATCTATTCTGCAGCTCAGAAACTTGTTTAAGTGCGTGACACGATAAAATTCCCCCAAATCAAGAACTTGTTCATCACTAGAAAATGGGATTTGGAAAACAGAACCAAGTTGAGGTTGGGCCATGTGATTATAAAAGATGTAAATAACTATGCAAAATTATACTACATGTACTCAAATGATAAGTGATGAATAAAATTTTGCAGTAGCATATTTTTTGGCGCACGAGGAAAGCACAAGTCAAAAGTCCAAAAGACTAGCATTCAAAAAGTACAAATATAAGCATACCTCCTTCAGTAGATTGGCATAACTTTCAGCATTTGGGGTAGCTCCTTGAGTCTCTTTTCTAGCAGTATTTGAAGTAATAGATGATTCTGGAATATCATGGATGGCAGAGGACTTGGACCCCTTAAGGATCCGTCCAAAACCGCATTCATGACCTCGCCGAGTACCAAATACTTCCCGCATAATAGCTCTCTCATCAACAACGGTATCAGGAGAAGTGAGTTGTGCTGATTCTCTTGCTTCCAGAAGACGAGACCACATAAAAGTAGTTTATGAAAATTTATGGGATGTAAAAATAAATACAATATCTATATGCTCAACTTACATAATCAGATTCGGCGGCATAAAAAGACAAAAGTAAGTAAACAAATGCTTAAGGAAGAAATCCCCAAATTGTGAAACACTTCTCAGGAGCCGCACGGCCAACACACGCCTCCACTCACCGGCAGAAACAAAGAGGATTAGTCAAATTAAGTTTTGATATTTTAGTTGTTTTGTTCTCACAGGTAAGAATAATATTTGCAATTTCCTATTTCTTTCTTTCCTTTTCATAATAAAAATATATTACTTGCTCTGTTTTAGATATGTGGTTTGCTGCGATTTTTGATCCATGTTAGTTGATCTATAAGCTCTTTAGTTTTCTTAATTAAATAAAGAAAAATCAAAATCATTCAATTTTCGTAAATGATGTATTTTTCAACAAATATCTTGTATTGATTCTTGAAGCATATGGAGTTTTTTGTACTAAATTTTTCCCCTGCCTTGGAGTGCTTTAGTCATCTTCACTACAAGTAACATATATTCTTTATGTAGCTTGGTAGTTTTTGTTTAATAGAAATAGTATGCTATTATGCTAGTATATAGTGAATGAACTTAAAATGACTTAGTTCTTGATTTGTTCTTATAGAAAGAACTACCAGGATGAGTTTTTGGAATACTAATAAAATGAGTGATGAGTTGTAATTAGGACTCACCTTTTTGTAAAACCAATCTGAGAACCGTTGTCGGTGCTGAAATTCCAAGTCTGTAAAGCCACTTTCCATCAACTCTTGCTTATGCTCCCTGTCATAAAAGAAAATCAATAATTCACAATGGCAAGAATGTTATGTATACACAATGAACATAAAGGAAATGAAAATTCTTACTGAACAAATGAGTCTATTTCAGGACAATTGTTGAGTATGTAAAATTGTGAATGTTTATGCTTCTCCGGGTCTAGAGCCACACTCATACGACCTCCAATAGGAATGCATTGTGATCTGAATACTGAAAGTTGTGCCATCACATCACATATCGGATTTCTCTGTGGTCGATTGAACTTTGTCTCCACGTCATTGAAATAACGTGCACAAAATGTTATTGCCTCTTTCGAGATATACGCCTCAGCGATTGAACCTTCTGGTTTAGCCGGATTTCTAACACATTCTTTCAGCTCCTTTAAATATCTCTCAGTTGAAAACATCCATCTTAGGTGTTCAGGTCCACCTAAAATTGCCTCCTCAGGAAGATGCATTACCAAATGAACCATTACATCGAAAAATGCAGGGGGGAATATCCTTTGCAATTTGCACAAGATCATAATCACATCCGACTGTGCTGAGATAAGGTCACTAACATTGAGACTTTTGGCACACATTTTTTTGAAGAAGTTACACAATTCTATGATAGCATCAGAGATATCCTTATCTAAGTATGCACGGGCTGCTACAGGTAACAATCTCTGCATTATGACATGACAATCATGAGATTTTAATCCTGTTAAGCGCCCCTCGTTTGGAGGCACACATCTTCTTAGGTTTGATGCAAATCCATCTGGAAATCTCACAGATCGGTTCCAGTTGCAAAATGCAATCCTTTTTGTCGGCCGAAGTGTATAACGAGCCCGTGGTTTCATTATCTTACCCTTATCAGAGTAAAGATGCAACTCCGGTCTAATATTCATGTTCATTAAATCTCGCCTAGAATTAGGAGTATCTTTTGATTTATGTGGATCATCCATGATTGTTCCGAGAAGACTGTCACGTACATTTTTTTCTACATGCATCATGTCAATGTTGTGCTTCAATTCATTAGTAGACCAATAAGGAAGCTAAAAAAAAATACTTCTCTTTCTCCAGTTTAACTCATCTGCATGCTTTTTTTATCTTTGCACCACCGTAGTTCTTATGCTTCCCGGGTATCTTTGGCCTAACTCGATTCAACTGCATCAATATGTCTGTCACTGATTTCTTGCTTGGAGGGCCTCGAAATTCGATTTGACCATCAAAGTCACGCAATTTTCTCCATTTATGGTTTACCGGAAGGTACCTTCTATAGCCCAAGTACACTGTCTTGCCCAATATACGCTGCGAAGGAGTTTCATCATTGCACGTGGGACAAGCCATGTAACCTTGACCACTCCATCCTGAAAGGCTGCTTCTAGCGGGGAAGTCATTAATTGTCCACATTAATGCAGCTCGCATCCGAAATATACCACAATTTTTCGTTGCAGCATCACGTGTATCCACACCAATAGACCACAATATCTTCAAATCTTCCACAAGGGGCCTTAGGAAAATATCCATATCCTTTCCTAGGGATTTAGGTCCTGGGATTAGTAATGTAAGCATCAAATACTCTGACCTCATACAAAGCCACGGGGGAAGATTGTAAACAGTCATTATTACTGGCCACATGCTATATGACTGGCTCATATCACCAAATGGGTTGAAGCCATCAGCTGCAAGTCCGAGACGAACATTACGTCTCTCACTAGAAAAATCTAGATGTCTAGCATCAAATTCACGCCAGGCTTTGCCATCTCTTGGATGAGTCATCACATCTTTATTATACTCAATACTATGCCAACGCATAAGTTTTGCCGTCTCTTCCATCGCGAATAATCTTTTCAATCGTGGGATGATCGAAAAATAACGTACAACTTTATGTGGAATTTTGCTTCTAGAACATTTTCCAATATTCTCTCTCCAGCGTGATTCCCCACATACTGGACATTCTTGTCTGTCAACATACTCTCGCCAAAATAGTGCACAATCATACTTGCACACATGTATACTCTCATAGCCCAAGCCCAAGCTCGCTAACAACTTGTTAGCTTCATAATATGAGTTGACTAGTTTCATTGAAGGAAATGCAAGTTTAAGCAACTTAAGTAACTCATCAAATGATTTATTTGTCCATTTTCCATTCACCTTGATATTCATCAGCTTTACTAGGAAATTAAGAGAAGAAAATGATGAAACACCTTGATATAATTTAGTGTTCATAGCATCATATAAGTTATGATATTGCTCATCAGGGCCTTCCATCCCATACTCCTCTGGATTCAAGTCTGCCATCACTGTCTCCATTTCATCCATCATCTCAAAGTCTAAGTTCGACGAACCAACTTGGTATCGTGGTAAACATTCTCCATGGTGAATCCATGTATCATAAGATGCATCAAATCCAAACCTCTCAATGTGAATCTTAACGGCTTCTAAACTTTGAGATTGCACATTTAAGCATTTGTTGCACGGGCATTTAATCAAACCTTTCTTATTTACAAGAGGCCTACAGTGCTTAATAAAATCTTTCACACCATGCTTGAACTCTTTAGACATCCTATTTTTTATATTTATCCATGCTTTATCCATTACTATACCTGAAAAAATACAATAAAAATAAATATATATTCCAAAAATAAATATAAACAAATATTTATAAACTAATACTAAATTAAATATATAAAAAAAATTCAAGTAATAAAATTAACTGTTGTGTAGTGTATTTTTAATATTTAAAGTTTATCAATCATAATTACTTAGGAACATATATATATTAGTTAGATATAGACCCGAGCAGAAATTTTTTGACGTATAGTAGAATGCAAAGTAGCTTGCTAATCTTGCATTTTCTTTGTTTCGTCTTACTTATTAGTTTATCTGTGATGAACTTTCTTAAAAGATCACTGTTTTCCTTTCTTTTGAATCAAGATGAATCTAATGTGCTAAAGTATTACACACGTAGGATGCCCAGGAATTCCTAAACTATTTGCTAAATGAACTGGTTAACATACTGGAGAAAGAGGCTCGAGCTACTAAGAGTGATCAAGAAAGGAAGGAACAGAGGCTGGAAAGGGGCGTCTATAGGGGTTATCGGATTGTAGCGATAGAAGACAGATACTCGCATAGGGTATTTCGGTGATTTAATCCATCAGATATTAAAGTGTATTGATCAAGGTTGTCTTGATCTCAAAATAATTTTTTTTATTACTATCTCTTACTCATGAAAGTAAGTTAATTTCAATCAACTAAAAAATTATTCATAAAGTGCTTAGTTATTCTAATTTCTTGTTCCATTCCTGATAGGTGTTGAACATTCTTGGAGCTTGAAGCCATCACTTTATGCATTAGTTTGAAGCTTAGTCAAGGAAATAAAACTCACTATTCCTAATTAAAGAAGATGCAGGTGCCTATTTTTACCATCAGAGATAAGAAGCAGAGATAAAGATACAATTGTAAGGTGAGTAATTTAATTTATATTCTTACTATTTACATATTATCAGTTTGTGTTGCACTACTCTGTATAAAGTAAACATTCCTCCACAGCTACAATTGATAGTGCTATATAAAACAATTGCATGAATGGATATTGAAGATTTACCTTAATCTTCAAGAATTGCTGTCAATGAATGGAGAAACAGGGAGGAATGAGAATAAACTATGGCAGAGTGTAAATGTGTTGAATTGTTGGTAAGGAATTGAATGAAAGTAGATAGTGGTAGATGGTTAAATCAATACAGTGAAAGTTTATTGGAACGACATGTACTATCTATACGCACGACAAGTCGTTCTAATTAATATGACATTAATTGATCTGCAGGCATTTGGTCACACGGTTGGTGGGTCATTAAACTGATATTTTATTAGCACAATCAGTATATCTATTACAACGACATCATGTTGTTGCTAAAGAATCGCGCTTATAGTAACAACATTTGAAATGTTGACACGACATTTTGCGTTGCAATAGAGCAAACTATTTATGGGCACGACAATTTTATGTCGTTGCAATATATCTTTCTATTGGCACAACGTAGTTGTCGTTCCAATTTTGTCGTTCCTCTTAAGCTTGTTTCTTGTAGTGTGGGGATCTTGGAATATATTATCAACAAATATTTTTTCATGAAACGTGCATATATAGGCATATACAACGCCCCGTGATTCATGAATCATTACTGGTTGGAAAATAATTTTACTACCAAATATAGTTAAAAAAAAAAAGTGTATTATAGTGTCCATATTTTTATAATATTTAAAATTTCCATTCTAATATCGATTAAATTAGTTTATTTATTTATAAAGCAAATCAATATTTGATTCGGCCAATTTTGAATGAATGCAATACAACGTGTGATTTTAGGTATGTGTGACGATGATTTTTTTTTTTGGTGCTATTTTTAATATCGATGTATTTTATTTTACATTAACATTTTTGAAAATGATAGCATCACGTGATATTAAAAATAGCATCATACACAATTAAAAATAACACCAAATAAGGTTCCCACTGTTCTCAACTAAAACAAACTAGCCAAAAAGCATAAAACCGGAGGAGCTCCACACAGCACCCCTCCAAGACAAAGATGGCCATACACAACATAATACAACAAAAATAAAGAGAAAAAGCCACAAACTAAACTAAAACTTAACACCCCAAATACACACCTAACACCCATCAACAAACTGCCACACACACACAGAAGATAATAATATGAAAATGTCTTCGGCCACCACTGCAAGCTCAGAATTGAAAGAGGCCTGTTCATTTAGTTTTTTTCTTAGAAGCTCGTTCTCAACCTGGATAAAGACCTTCTGCCAGTTGTTATGTTTATCTTTGAGCATCCATTCCCTGATTTGATTAAGTTCTCCTTCTTCTGAAGCCAACCGTGGAGTCTGTGTCACCACCCACTCATGCACTACCACTTGATCCAAAAAAGCCATGCCCTTTTTCACTCTGGTCCCATCACCTAAGATTGAGTTGCCCGTGCTAAACGCGCTTGATAGTTCAATAACTTAAAAGGGTGTGTTTATTTGAAATTTTTAAATACTTTTTAAAATTTTGGAAATGTAGATGCATTTTATTTAAATATTTAACACTTTACAACAATTTTAAAAGCCTTGGGTTATTCTTGATATTTTAAAAAGTATTACGAAATTATGAGGTATTATTGAAATTAAAATTTATTAATATTTTTAATATTTGCTGAATATTCTTTAAAATATAAAATCTTATACGAAATCTCATTCAAAATTTTACTTCTAGATTTAACATTTTACGAAATTAGTTCAAAATATGAAAATGTTATCAAATCTCAAATCTAAAAAAGTCTCAAAAAATTCCAAAAGAATTGTTAATTGGGACTGTGGGGGTTGGGGACAGGTTATGAAATATTACTCCCTCATACTTTTATTACTAGTACGTAACTCGTGCGATGCACGAGATGTAAAATTTGGAAGAATAATATAACCTCACGTGCATTAGAATCGAATTGAAATCATTAAAATACATAGGAACATTGTTGAATCATAAAAAGTTCGGTAACAATCATAAATTGTTAAAAACCTCCTTGTACACAACATTATGAGTTTGATTATTTGGTAATTCCTCATTATCACAAACTAATATTTTCAACCCCTTCTATTATTTACACGCGAAGCAGCAACATATAATTGGCCGTGACTAAAAACGGGTTCTTCAGGAAAAGACCAACGTGCGATAAAAAAAAAAAGTTTTTAAAAATTGAAAAGTCAAGGCAATCAATTCAGATTAATTAAAGGTCAAAGAATATCCGCTCCTTGAAATAAAGACGTGTGCTATCATTAACCAAATATTCGGTTATTGATATAGAGTGGTTACCAAAAAATAGAACGCGATAAGGACGCTTCATGGAAATATCAATGGAATAAGGTCATAACAGATCGCTATACATTGTAACGATAAAAGCTCATATGGAATGATTTAATTAGATGTGTGAAAAGGACATAATTAATGAGAAATGTGAAAAGGACAAAAACTTACCGATTTTGGAAAATGTTTAATGCAAATTCGACATTGACCATAATTTGACCTACTATTTTGGATAAATGTTAATTCTTATTATATAAGTATAGATTTGTCGTTTTAAGAAACAACATACTAATTAAGAATTTTTTTCTTGTCAATATTAACCCTATTTAATGGATGTTATGGGAAACAATGGAGATGGGATATAAACAGACATTGTGTATTAAATAGAGGGTTAAAATTAGAAAAATATGAATAAAATAGCCAAAATAAAATTTATTTAATCAATGATCTGACAAATAATAAAAATAGAAGAAAATAATAAATAATTTATTTATATTATCATCTTCCCATCTTTAGTATCCCGTGCCCCAACAATTTGATCATTTCTCATAAACCTTTTCATTAGATGTGTTAAAACATTTGACCAAAGACTTCGAGAATTGAATACTTTTCTCCCAAAAACTCTTGAATAATGAAGCACAAGTCCCCACAAACTTTTTCATTAGATCTCCTCCATTCTTCGTCTCCCTTTCTCTATAAAAATGGAGCCATAAAACCTAAATCCCACTTCGCACCACACATTCCAAAATCCAAATCTTATCAGCAGATATTGTTCTATTCGCTTTCCAAAGCATCATCTTTTACCCAGTTCTCTGTGCAGCATTTCAAACCACACCTTTTCCACGACGATTTTGTTCAATAACCCGTGATAATAACAACATTCGAATGCCATAATCCCTTATCTAATCCTCGCCTATATCTATATATAATCTGCACCCACCACAGCCATGGCGGTGGCCTACCCGTATTTTACAGCCAACGACACCCACGCGCCGCCGCGGCCGATGGCCCCCCTCCTCACGCAAGACGACCTGAAGAGAATCGCCGCCTACAAGGCCGTCGAGCACGTGAAGTCCGGAATGGTCATCGGGCTCGGCACGGGCTCCACGGCCCGACACGCCGTGGACCGTATCGCAGACCTCCTGAAGCAGGGGAAGCTCAGGGACGTCGTCGGCGTGGCCACCTCCACGAAGACGCGCGACCAGGCCGCCTCCCTCGGCATCCCGCTGTCAGATCTGGACACCCACCCGGCCCTAGATCTGGCGATAGACGGCGCCGACGAGGTCGACCCGGATCTGAACCTGGTCAAGGGCCGGGGCGGATCCCTTCTCAGAGAGAAAATGATAGAATCCGTGAGCAAAAAATTCATCGTCATCGTGGATGAATCCAAGCTGGTGAGCCACATCGGAGGGAGCCGTCTCGGCATGCCGGTGGAGGTAATCCCCTTCTGCTGGGAGCATTCTCTTAGAAGGTTGGTGAGTTTGTTCGCCGATAGGGGCTGTTTTGGGGAGCTGAGGAGGAGTTGCGGGGAGGACGGGGAGACTTACGTGACGGACAACGGGAATTACATAATCGATCTGTATTTCGAGAGGGAAATTGGGGATTTGAAGGAGGCCGGCGACCGGATTCTGAGGCTGCCGGGGATTGTGGAGCACGGGATGTTTGTTGGGATGGCGACGTCGGTGATTGTGGCCGGAGTTAACGGCGTGACGGTGAAGACGAAGGCGGTTGGGGGTGGATTGGAGGTTGATTGTTTTAATTATGGGGATTTGAGGAATGGGTTTTGAGGGTTGGTTTTCTCGTCTTTAATTTGGTTATTTAACATGGGAGGATTTTTAAGTTGTCTCCTCTTTATATCAATCAATTCATTAGAACTAACTGATGGATCTTTGAAATTATAGTTTTGTCTTCTTTTTTGTTTCTAATTTTGGGTTTATCTTTATGTAGCTTGTCTTGCCTGAGTTATAATGGAAATTTAGTGAGTATTTGGGCTTTGTTGGTTGATTCGTGTTGATCTAAAAAGAGAGTTCACTCAATTTTTCGTCTATGACTCGGGCTACAACTCAACGTATCATAATCAGATAATGTGTAAGATGAAACCGAAAGTGTATGATTTCCATTCTCTCTCTTTTGTTTGTGCGTGGTTGAACTTTGAAGCCGTTCTTTATCCAAATAATTGTTGCATTACTTTTATTTTAAATTTCTAGTTTATTCAAATATTTTTCTCTTTTGTTAAGAAAATATACGATTCAAGCATATCCAATACAATTAAATTAGCTCGATTGAGGAAAATAACATTTTCAGTTTCTAATTGTAAGAATATTGGTTTGGCATTATACGAAAAACCTAAGTGTTTTTTAGAAGATTTTTTTATTAGGCAAGCAAAATAAATTAAAGGGAAGTTTTCTATTTATTTACTTGTTAATTAATTAAGTTATTATTTATGGAGTCTTAAACCTTTAGGAGAAGGATTACATAATATATATCTTATATATTTACTTACCATATATGTCACATGCATTAATGAGCTTGATTCTATGTCATAATTAGTTTTCTCTTTCTTGTAGGACAAGGAACAAGTGGCAAGGACTATGAAAGGATGAGATTTTCACACAAGAAGAATTCTGGACGTTCTCTAGAAGATCTAAGGAGGATTTGGAAAGATTCATCACAATATCTTTGAAGATTTGGAAGATCGGCTATTTTAGGAAAGTCCTGTTCTTACAAGAGTCTGGAAACACGAGATTTCCATTGGAAACTCAATCATGAAGATCTCCAAATCACATACACGAATTCTACATCAAGGAAACTTACTTTACATGAAGGATTTCGTCCAAGATCTGAAAGGAATCAATGGGAAGGAAATTGACTCATAAAAGGAAAAGAAGTCTAAAACTTGAAGAAGACTCCAAACCTAAGGAGTTGTATATATATCCTACTTGAAGATCGAATTAAGGCTGTTGAGATCATTATTATTCACATACTATTCGAGCTTCAAGTCTTATTTTATTTTAATTATGGGGATTTGAGGAATGGGTTTTGAGGGTTGGTGTAGGGAATTCCTAATTTTGGGGATTTTTATTTATTAAATTTCTCGTCTTTAATTTGGTTATCTAACATAGGAGGATTTTTAAGTTGTCTCCTCTTTATAATCAATCAATTCATTAGAACTAAACTAATGATGTGTTATTTAGTGTTTAGCAAGCCTGTATGGGGCTGTAAGGGAAGGAGATTTCTTCTTCTCGTAGCATTTGGGAAGTTATTGTGACATCTCAAAGTTGTAATCCGTTGGTTACCGTTGTATCCGAACATCTTATTTGAGTTATATATTTGGTTATCTGTCTTGGAAAAAAAATCATTAGAACTAAACTAACTGATGGATCTTTGAAATTATAGTTTTGTCTTCTTTTTTGTTTCCCCTAATTTTGGGTTTATCTTTATGTAGCTTGTCTCGCCTGAGTTATAATGGAACTTTAGTGAGTATTTGGGCTTTGTTGGTTGATTCGTGGAATAAATGACACCCCCTAACTCTTTGCTTAAACATTTTAAATTAATACCCTAACATATTATTTAGACAATATGGCCGCTTTTGTTTCCAATTACACTCTTTTTGTGGACGCTATTAGGTTTTAAAAAATCTGGCTCTTTTACTTTTTACTTAATAACCGTGAAACGGTTTATCATCCTCTTATATATCTCTTATTTTCAGTAACCTACCTACCCCCTTTTTACTACTCTCAAAAAATAAAGACAAACTTGATTCTCCTTATATCATCCTTATATTTCCCTTTTGTTGGATGCGCCGGTTACCCACGATGGGGCTGGATGATGGAGCCTAAAACAATTACAAGTTTGATTGTCGTTGACAGGAGGCTGGAGGATGTGGCGGGCAGTGGTGGCGTCGGCGTGCCCCAGCCGCGGGTGTGACGACCGGGAGCAGACTTCTGATTTTCGATTTTTGGGCGAAAGGTAAGGATTCGAGTTCAATCTCCAAGTGTCGATTTAAATTTTGTAGAGCCGAACCCTTTCTAAAGCCCAGAGCCTTACCTTGAGTCGAACCTTAATTTTCGAGCCGATTTAACCCTGTGTTTCGTCGATTTTTTGAGAAATTCGAGATTTCCTTGTTGATTAGTTTTTGAAGTATGCTTTTTCGTATATGTTCATTTTATTGAAGTTCTTAGTCTGAAGCAAATTGTTTGTTTTATGGGAATATGTTGGTAATTTTATTTATGGAGATTAAACTTGTTTGAAAAATATAATGTGGCTAAGAAATTTTCAAATATTTCTAGAATCCTGCATTATTGAGTTATAAGATTCATGTTATTTTCTCTGTTTTTTATGATGACTAGGTGTTCTGTGGCAAAAAAAGAATAATAATAACAATTTTTTTTTTATATATACATGTGTTTATATAAAGGAGTTGTTTGTTCATATTTTACTGTAAATATAAAGTTACTTTTAGTTATTTCACATATGTTATAATGTTGTTTTGATGTTACTTTTAAGTAGATTGTTGTTTTCATGTTGCTTGCCATATGTTTTATTGTTGTTTTCTTATTATTTTGTTGTTTTTGTAATACATATCATTAATTTTTAAAGTCATAATAACAAACATTTTGTTGTTTTTCAGTTAATTTAATTTAATTGTTATGTATGTATCATTTTTGTTGTTTTTTTTCTTAGGTATTCATGTTTGGAAGAGAAGAAGAAGAACAAATATTTGGAGAAGAAGAACATAAAAAGAGAAGGGGAAGAAGAAAAGAGAAATTACGTGGGAAAGATAACGAAGAGAGAGAAGGAAGAAGAGAGAGAAGGAATAAAGATGAAGAAAATAAATAATGATTTTTAATTAAGTGGTTTTATTTATTTGCATATGAGGTAGTTATATATTCTCACTGTTTTGGAAGCGTTTGGCGTATATTTGGAAATTATGTGACTAGTTTATTTAATGGAATCTTTGTGTTTATAAGAGTTAGTTATGTCTTTTCGTGTCTTCTTTGTTTGGGTCGATCTAAAAAGAGAGTTCACTCAATATTTCGTCCATGACTCGGGCTACAACTTAACGTATGATATTCAGATAATGTGTAAGATGAAACCGAAAGTGTATGATTTCCATTCTCTCTCTTTTGTTTGTGCGTGGTTGAACTTTGAAGCCGTTCTTTATCCAAAAAATTGTTGCATTACTTTTATTTTAAAATTCTAGTTTATTCAAATATTTTTCTCTTTTGTTAAGAAAATATACAATTCAAGCATATCCAATACAATTAAATTAGCTCGATTGACATTTTCAGTTTCTAATTGCTCATAATATTAATCAAAGTGACTACGTTTAGATTTAAATAGTGTTTCCCAGGTAATATTAATCAAAGTGACTACGTTTAGATTTGTTAGTTCAGCTCCATTTCTTTTTTCCTTCTTTTATATACAATATTCTTTTCTATTTAACAGAAATTCACAGTGGGTTTTAACATTTGATTAAAAAAAAAAAAAAACAACACGACTTCTCATCATCGGCATTAACCCGAAAGACCGAATAAAATCAAAAGTCGAACGATATGCTTCATTTTAATGCACGGTAATAACACGGGGCTGATGCAGAGTCATTTGACCATCTTCTTCATCGGGCACAGAGGTCAACTCATTAGCCTGTAGATCACATGTTCGATTCATATAAGCAATGCTACAAATTAAAGATCATTTGAAAAAAGTTTGTAACAATAATTAAAACGAATGAATAAATAAAACTCTCTTCATATATATTTGTGCTTTACCTGTCTTCTTCGGCGTAGGATGTAAGTGACTACTTTCAGTATTATGCAAATCGGGACAATAATCCAAGCTATCCGTAGCATTAATAGCTGTTAAATAGACCCAA